TGTTTACTAAATGGGCTCTACTTTCTCTTGAGGTTACAAATCCTTGGGATAGGGGATTAGTGACAAAGCAAATGGAAGGTGAGAGGGTGGAGATAGGAGGGGGTCTGGTCTGGGCCTCAAGGCAACCTCCCTCAGCAGCAGGACAAGCCTAGGTTTTATTCAGAACACATTCTGAAGATTTCTGTGTCTCACAGATTAAAGTCTGTCCTCATTGTCCAGTAGCCACAAATTACACATTAGCGAGAGTACATATGACAATTCCTCCCCATCTTACACTCAGAAATGATGAGAACCAGAGCTAAGAGGGGAAAGAACAAGGGAGTTGAGGCCTTTGGGAGTGGGAAAGTAAGAGAAAGGTAAACTCTTTGGTTCTTTCTTGGTTCAAGTCTACTGACTTTCCCAAGTGCCACTGATAGCTTCAGCTAGCTCCTGACTGCCAGTTGAATCTGCACAGATTAGTACATGATCCCAGCCACTCATAAAGGGGCGCCATGGCATCAGGTGGCTAGAATTTATGGTCTTTGATTAAGGGAACAGGATTAAAAGAGAAGTTTAGAAAAGCTCCCTTACTAAAACTCTTTTTAGGGTCTGTCTGTGATCTTTTGTAGAAACATACCTTCAAAAAAAGAAAAGAAAACATGGCAGGAAAAGATTAGAAGAGAGAACAGTGAAAGAGGGTTTTTCTCATCATATGCTTGAGGTAAGTTAATGGGACAGTTTGCCCAGGTGTCATGGCCCTAGTCTTGTAAGACAAGAGCTGGGAACATCAGAGCTAAAATTGCCCCCCCCCCGCCAACAGAGGCTCAAATAGGAAAGGAAACTGAGGCAGCTAAACTCCCCGATCACAGAGTAGGGATCAGCCAGACTGCCCCAGTAAGCCTTATCCATACAGAGTTAACAGCAGCTGTGCTTTCACTTTATTTGGCTACAGAAGTCCTGTGTTTCATCTGAGGCGTATTGCTTTCTATATGGGCTAGATTCTGTTACATCCTAAAACAGGTGGCATGCGTGTGTCAGTGGGCTGTTTATTATCCTTCAGAGCTCTAAAAGATTTGTCATCCCTGTCCTAGAGGTGTAACATTATTTTTCAGTCCCTGCCCCAAACCAAGCAATGACCAACTGGAACCCCAGTGCAAATAGGAAAGGTCCCTATACTCTCCCCAGTCTCTGAAATATGCACATCTTGAAAGAGCCCTTTGGCTTCAAGAGGTTAAAAGAGCCTTCCTTTGGTTCCTGTTGAGGGAACCAAATGTTGTGTCTAGGGGTGCATGCTGTATCACTGCTCTGCTGTAACACTCAGCTAACTAGGATTGTGAAACTCAGCACCGATAAAAAAATTTAAATGAACAAAGTTTAAAATAAAAGATGATTTATTTAAAGAACAGAGTGAAGGAGAAGATGTAGACCGCTACTTGGCAGAGTAGGGGGCATCATAAGGGAAAAGACTTGTGGGTCTTTGCTTTCAGCCTTCTTTTATCAAGACTGCTTTCTTGCTTATGTGGGCACCTGGAGTTTGTAACAATTTGATGGGTCCTCTGGCTGTCTTTGACCCTAGCCCAGGTACCTTTGCCTACATTCTTTTTCATTCATTGAGACCTTCCTGTCATTTTGTGATGGATAAGCAAGTATGTGGGGCGAATGTCTTAAGAGAGCAGCTTAGAGTTAGAGATTAAAGGGTATATCTAATGCAGTAATATATTGACTCTAGTGTGAGAACATACATGTACATATACATGCACATATAAACGTATAAGTGTGTGTCTTGTTATATACTAAATAAAGAGTTGTGGGTGGCTGCCCTTTATCTCATTTGCATTTTATGGGGTAAGAGGGCTGGTTACCTTCATCTTTCATGTTTCTATCTGTACCCTCCTCTTATAATGCCAACTCTTTTTGATAACCTTTTTAAAATTTTTATTTTAAAGAGGATAAAACCAGTCAAAACAGACCAGTGTAAAAGATACAGGATTTCAAAACATTATGAAATCAATCATAGTTACCATAATGTGTTTTGATGTCTTCAAAATGGCTGCAGATAACTTTGGACATAATAAAATTCAAATAGAACAGAATAGAATAAAAACAATAAAAATGAAACAATGAATGGAACAAAGGACTTCAAAACAAACCTGTAGTACATCCAAAATTGCTACCATAGTACATCTTGCTATCTTTGAAATAGTTGTTCCTGCCATAGATTTTACATAATCAAACCAAAGAGAATAAAACCCAACCCAACAAAATAGCAGAAGCAATACAAGACCATAGGGAATCAACAATGGCTGCAACCCCCAGAAGGTGATCCCCGTTAGATGTTACACTGCATACCACTATCCTCTGAACCTGTGATCAGACCATCGGCCATAGACCTGCAATGTTACTGAAACACCGAAGTACCACAGGCATCCAGTTGCATTTCACCTTCTTGGGCTATCATTGTAGCCTGTGTTTCTGCCCGTGAGCCCATTGCTTATGGAGGTTAGGGAGGGGGCTTGGTACTTCTTGTTTGCCAGCCTGTGTGCCAAAAGGGCTGGGGTCTGGCTGATTCAGTCCAGTGGAGGCCTGTGCATGGTGCTGGATCGTAGACTGGGCTTGCTTCCTGGTGTGGCCTTCTCTCTACCCCTGGTCTGCGAATGGTGCTAATTTATGGGGAGAGGCTGGGGTCTGTCTGTTCTAGTCTGGCGGTGGCCTGCACGTGGCACTGGTTCCCAGACAGGGCTTGCTTGCTAGTGTGGCTTTGTTCTCTCTTCTTGATAAAGTTTTATCAAGAATTTGATCAATGTTAATTGTGTTTCCTGGCAGCTTGCCAAGTCTTGGTTTCTCTAAGTCTTTCAAATTGCTTGAATCTAACCCCAGAAAAAGCTGCCTTTCATAAGATTTTCTGTGAATTTCTTTAATAAAGGTTGATGGGGCCCTATTTTATTCTTTTCTCTGCCTATATCCTATTTTCCCTGTATTTTCTTTAAACCCACTGCTAAAGGCAGTGGTCTTGAAGCTTTAGCATACGCTCAAAGATAGTGTCTGCTTGTCAAAACCTTGACTTACTCCAGAGTCAGTAGGTACATATTGGGACCATAGGATTTGTCTTTCTGAGAAGTTCCTGGATGACACTGGTGCTGATGCTGCTGGCCTGGGGCCACATTTTGTGGACCGCTTCTTCAAGGACTTTTTGAGACTGCAGATTCCTGGTTCAATGATATCACATATTAAAATGAACACAGCTTTTATTTGTACTGCTTGTAAGCACTTACGCCCTTACTTCTGGTTATCATGATATCTCCCTCTCTTTAGATCAAGGTCATTACAAGAGTGTTTAATAATACAAAATATATGTAAAAGTTTTACTTTTCTACAAGTATATAGAAGTACATAGACAGAATAATGGAACCCCTCACCCCGTATTTTTACATGTGCAATCAGCAGATGTAACTGTACACGTATCCACACACATACTTTTCTTTAATAACTCTTTGAAAGTACATTGCAGATTTTTCACCAGTTTTCCCATAAATCCTTCAGTACATTCCTCTCAGAACATTCTGTTACATTATTACAATACCATGAACACAATTATGAAAATTAATTATGATGCATTACTATTATTTGCCATGTAGTTATATTGAAGTTTCTCATTTGTCCCAATGTCTTGTATAGCTGATTTTTTTAAAAGGGGTAGTTGTTAGGATTCAGTCAAGCAAAATCAAATTTTAAGATGTAGCAGTGATGGACAGTGGTTCTTTAGGCTTAGGTAGATGCTACATATTTAATGTAATATAGACTTGATTGATTTAACATATATGATACTGTGTCATAGGAAATAACAACAGCATATTTTAAAAACTATACTATAATTACTACTGATAGATTGATAAAAAAACTAAAACCAGCTCATAGTTTAGGGCAGTCAGGAATTACTACTTTTTGTTTCCTATACTGCTGAACACTGTGATTTTTACAGGACTTATTAAGACAAGTGCATAGATGTGACCTGTTGTTTGTGTGTTTTGTGTATGTACTGGGTGCTTGAGATTGGATCTGTGGGCCCGTGCATACCAAGCACGCCATCTGTCATTGAGGTGCACCCCAGCCTCTGTCTATTATGTTAACTAATGTCTGTCATTTTAATGCATGAGACTGGCAGAATGAAGACTGCAGTTCAATGCAGAAGTCTTTGTTACATTTCTGAATTTGGAAGAAGTGAAATCTTACAGTTATGATTGTCCTCAGGAATTATCTTGAGCCAAGAGATTTTAGCATATAGTAAATAATAAATATATTTAAAATGATAGACATCTATTGAATAATTAAAAATTGAGAAATAAATGTATATTTTAATCTGATATGTATAATAACCTGATATATAAATAACCTGATGGCTCTATTCGTTATTCAAAATTTACTTTGGAGGTGTCCCTTGTGGAATAATTACTTATGAATTGTATATCAGTCAGTGTGTATTAGAGAAACAGATATAACTCAAGATATACAAATATACGAAAATAAACAAGATTGGCTTACAGTGGCCACCCACAGAGTTGGATTTGGGAGGGTGCAGAGGGTGTTTGCACACTGGAGACCAAAGGATTTAGTCAAAAGTCTGGAGCTCACTGCCCCATCCCAAGTAAATCTGTATCAAGAGGCCAATGGATTTGTAATGAAAGGCTGAAGAGTCTGTGCTGGAAGGTTGGAGGATCTGTATCGGAAGGTGGATTCTGTGGTGGAAGCCAGGAAATGACATTCAAGGTGAAGGCAAAGACTGGAGCTCCTTTAGAGAAACAGAAACAGATGTGTACTCCTTTTGCCCTTTGTACCATCCAGGCAACAAGCCACCCTAGGACGGGCCTTCTACCCTAGGAGGGTGGAATTGCTGAGACCATTTAGTCCTTGCTGAGTCAGGTTGACACCGTCAGTCAACTATCATAGATACGTTTGTGGTAAATAGTGATAAATGGCCACATACTTAGAAAAAGAATAGATTATTTCTTCTCATTCTTCTTTAGGTCGAGATTTAATCTGTATCCAGTCCATGGATGGGATGCTGATGGTGTTTGAGCAGGAGAGCTATGCTTTTGGGCGATTTCTCCCTGGTTCTCTTCTGCCTGGCCCTCTTGCTTATAGTTCCCGAACAGATTCCTTCATTACTGTCTCTTCCTGCCGGCAAGTGGAAAGTTACAAGTAAGTTTGTATGTTAAATCTTTGGGATTTTACTGGTATATGAATTCTTTTTCACAGACTTTGAATATCACAGATGAATAACATGCTGGTTTCTTTGATAAATGTACTGTGATAGCTTAATACATATCATTTTTTAAAATTTAAAATATTTGGAAGGCAGTATAGTGTAGTGACTTGAGATGTTTGGGGAGAGAAAGTGCTGGGTTGGAGTCCTGATTTTTACTACTCTATAGCTTTTTGATGATCAGCATCCTTATCCAACCTCTATAGTGCTCATTTTGACAGGTGTGTTACAAGGTTTAAGTAAGTGTATGTCAAGTTGTTACTCCTTAGAAAATGTTCAGTAGTTGTTGGGTTTGTTGCATGATGCAATACATAATAACAGTGTTAGATGAGAAAAAACAGGTAGGGAGATTCATGTATGGAATTATTTTATAACAAAAAATATATAGGACATAAAAATATTGGCAAAAAATACAAATGTTATGAATGCTATGTTATTTTTTAAAAGAACAATTCACAGTAAAAATGAAATCTGAAAATGTCCCTATGAAAACTATTGACTCAAAATTCTTATTAACATTAGTAAGTTGTATTTGAGAGAGATAATTTTTTCCTCCATCAGCTAACTTCCAATAAAAGGCAAGGATTTGTGTTTCATTGACAGAGAGAATGCAGGAAAGAAATCCATGCTAGGAAAAGAAATAGAATTGGAAGCTTTCAGTCTTTAGTTATTTTATTGTTATTTTGTGATGGCAGCTTTTTAGGTGTTTTTTTTTTTTTTTTTTTTTTTTTTTTTGCTACATGATTTTCCCCACAATAGGGAGAAAATATTATCAGGTAGCAACTGTAAAATTTTTGTCTTCGTTTCAAGTATATATGTATAGAAATAAGTGAATGTTTGTAACTAAGCAGAAGTTGATTGAAGTGGTACATCCTCATGTCACTTTTCTTCTTCAGTTGTGATGGTTCTTGTCCAAAGGAGGGGAATGAATTGTAACATTGCTACTGGTAATAAAATATTATAGTTATTTTGAGAGAAAAATATTGTGAAATTTTTCAGGCATGCCAAAATTTAAGCAATATCGAGATCTGCTTTTCAGTTTTCCACCCAGCTGTGCCTTGCCTCCTACTAGGCAGTGTTATGTTATCATAGTGCAAAGGTTTGAATGCTCTGTTTTATTCTTTGAAATATGTGCATAGAAATTGTTTTGTAACTCAGGATGATTGGATGAGAAAATAATATGTAGATTTCCTTAATGAGTGAGCTTAATCCTACAGAAGCCAACATTAACTGTGATAATTCTCCAAAATACTAACTCACTATATTCATCTCTAAAAGTATACACTTTATTTGTTATGAAGACGATATGTATAATGGTAAAAATGTATGAGATATGTGACATGTGAAATGACGACAAGTAAGAGCCTTATTAATTCTGTGTTGTATTTATGTATATTTTTAAGTTTAGTAGGTTAAGTTAAATGATACAATTTAGGATGAGAGAAAACAGAAATTATGGATTTATTCTTTTGAGGCTTCACTAAACCTATCTACAATCAGTTAATAGAATGTAATCTGCTAATAGAATAGGCTTTTAATACATAATTCCTTTTCATTTTTGGTATTGATGTTTAATTACTTTAAACTCAGATCAATTATGTTCTGGCAAGGGCTTTTGGCTGATAGACTTTAGTGTGTGTGTGTGTGTGTGTGTGTGTGTGTGTGTGTGTAAGAATTCCCTGGACAGCCTGATATAAAATGCGTATTTATAGATTCCTAGTCTCCAGACCCCTGACTTTTACTTAATTGGTTTTGGGATAGCTCATCTCCCAAAATTATCATTTTAAATGCATGCACAAGTGAAGTTTAAAAAGTGTCCTTTTCTGGGATTGTTGGAGGAAAGGGTTGAGGTGCTGTTGTGCTTTTGACCACATGTATCCCAACTTTGGATCATCTTTTTGTTCTCTTTTTCTTTCCTTTGCCTGTCAGAATTAATCAGTCAGTAAACACTCCCCATTCTACCTTTAATTCTTTCTTTTTTATTTTAAGGAGAAAAAACAGTAAAAATGATATGGAATTTCAAAACAAGATAATAGGAGATTAACAATGGTTAATATATTGCATATTAACTTCAGAATAGTTGCTAAGATTACAAGATATAGGCATGAAAGATTGATCAAACAATGAACATAAACCATTATTTTCAACGAACTGATAGAAATTAGTAATATAATTAGCTATCTTACGTGTGTGTATTTTTTTTTTTTGTTTTCCCTTTGTTCTTTTCTCTTTTCCCCGTCCTAGTTTTTCTTTCCTTTTAAGCAGTTTCTTCCCCTTTCACAATATGTATTATTCAGTTTGGATCGTATTTGCTCTTTCAGTTTCTTATACTAGGGAGACAATATGATGTTTACACATGTAAATCTGATTTAATTCACTTACGTATGGTTTTAAGCTGCATCCATTTACCTATAAAAGCCTTGAGTTTATCCATCTTATAGTTGAGTGGTACTGCATTCCATACTACATCTTTTTATCCATTCCTTGGTTGTTGAGCATTTGGGTTGTTTCCATTTATCTATTACAAAATGTGCTGCTATAAAAATGGGTGCATATATATTGTTGTGGTATGATATTTTCAGTTCTGCTGGGAAAATACCCAGAAAGGGAATAGCTGATTTGCAGAGTGGTTGCATCAGTCTACACTTCCACCGACAATGGAGAAAAGTCTTTTTCCCCACAGCCCTGCCAGTATTTGTTATTGATTGTTTTCTTGATAGCAGTTCTTTCTGGAGTGAGTTGGAATCTCAATGTTATTTTAATTTGCATTTCATGAATGACTAATGATGTTTAATATTTTTCATACAATTATTTGCTGTTATATAGCATTTGCATTGTATTAAGTATTAAAAACAATCTAGAGATGATCTCAGTATATGGGAGGGGTTGGTTGTATAGGCAAGGACACTTGCCTAGCTTCCATAGTGCCCAAGTTTGAGTCCCTAGAACTTCAAGGAAAAAAAGAAGAGTAGAATATATGTGGAAAGATACATATGGTTCTATGTAAATACCATGTCACTTTCTAAAAGGGATTGCAGCATCTTCAAATGGTTGGTATCCATGGTGGATGTGTATGTACCGAAGGATGACTGCATCGGTATTCAGTGCTCTGTATGAACCAGCCCTATTTACATTTATGATGTGGCTTTTAGATTTGAAAGGGAATTTAAAAGTTAAACAGTTCAGCTATTCCGTTTTCATCTGCTTGAAGATGTCACTGTCTAAAAACTATTCCTATGAACATATAATATAATTTTTAAGAACCTTCTCTATGCAAGGGTCTGGAGACACAAAATCAGAGAAGACCTATTTGGTTTTTTTTTTTTTTTTTTTTTTTTGGTACTGAAGATCAAACACATGACCTTGTACTTACCAGGCAAGTGCTTAAACCACTGAGCCCCAGCCCCTAGGCCCCCCCCCCCTTTGGTACAGAGGATTGAACACATGACCTTGTGCTTGCCAGGCAGGGCTCATGCCACTGAGCTAAATCCCTGGCCCCTAGAAGATCTATTTCTTGTCTCATGTAAGATTCCAGCAAGTGTAGGAGGCCACAATCACTCACCTCTCTCAGTCCTTGAGGTGCAGGCAGCACCAGACTCTGTATTGGAGGGGAGGGATCCTGGGCGGAGGGGCATCTAAGGAAAAGGGGAATGTAGAAGGGTTTTTGAAATAGGATGCTTACCATGTGTTGTATTTTCTCCTCCTCCCTCCACTATTCACCTCCCTCAACACCCTTCTGGTAGCTCCTAATACATTAGACATAAATGAAGACTTGAAGTAAGTATTTTAGAATATGTTTGTTGACTTTGACTGTTTTAAAAGGAAGGTTGGGTTCTTTATCAGAGCTAGGTTCTGGGTGAATTAAAATATTTGTGTTCTTTAGATGTGTTAAGGACTTTTCTCTCTCTCTTGTCTTTTGCTCAGGCTGTACCCTGGGTCTGGAATGAAAATTATACCCGGAAACTTCCTGCTTCCCTTCAGTTTTTCCTTGTTCTGGCCATAGACAACATCTCTTCTTTTCAGTTCTTGAGTTTTTTTAGTGATTCCCTCAAGCCCTTCCCTGTTTCACACTGTGCATATTAAATATTTACCGGCTTGCTTTTCTTCAATTGGACTTTGTGTTCCTTGGCAACAAGAGTTTTAGACCCTCTGAAGAGCCAGCACTGTAGCTTGCTGAGAGGGGATGTTTAACAACTTGATGAAGGAGTGAAAAGTGTGTAAAGAAAGTTTTTGTTCTGTTACTGGCATCTTTCAGTGAAAGCGACTGTGCCAGGAATAGTCAAGAATGTCTGAGACCTGGTTGCCGTGAACATAATAGTGGTCTGTATCCAGAGTTTCCATTTGTAGTAGAGTTCTCCAGGTTAAATGCCAAGGGTTCCCAAATCTTCTGGTACCCTTGGGTGTGTTTCGTTTGAAAATAAATGATTTTGGAGGGTTTACTTTTGTACTCAGTGACACATCAATCCATTTTTTAGTTTCTTGCTGTTTTTATGATGTGACATGGAAGAACACTGAATTACATGATTGTGTTTGTCATTGGTTCTCCATGGAACCCGCCTTTGTGGCTCCAGGGTTAAAAACCACTGCCACTCACCTAGGCTTGTGAATTTGTGATTAGCAGTTTCCTGTCCTGAGAAACACGTCTGACGCTGTCGTAAACTCTTTCTACACTGTGCCGATTATTCTTTCAGCAGTTAAAACAAGGGGATTTTATTCTTTAGTGTATATCACTGAACACTTGAGTGGTAAGAAAAAAGAAAATTCTGTTTTCCTTATTTCAGACTTTCCAAGTCTGAGTGGAATCATTTGGTTTTGGAAGTAGATTTTTGTGTAAATCATCACACTTAGGAGCAGTTAAGGAAGAATTATAAAATAGATGTGATTATAAATTTCTTATCATCTAAATTTACTGTCAGTTATGTTTAAGTAATAAAATATTCTTCTGAATTGTCTTCCAAGAAGAGAAATGGTTTCAATGGATTTGGAAGAAATTGGGAGTCAGTTTTGGCTTTGTCTCTGCCTGCTTTTTTGATGTCAGTGAGGCCACATTAGGGAATCACTTCTCAGATGAAATAACCCTTTGTAGTTACATCAGAAGCTTCAGACAGTTTAGAGAGCTTTGGATTTTTGCAGCAGCTTCATTAATATCCACGTCATTCTTCAATTGGCTAGTGTCAACAGGAAGTAAATCACCTCAGGAACTGATTGGTTGAGGTTAGATCTGTAGTAGGACCAATGCTGAAATGATGTTCTGGGCACTAGTTCACACTGTTTCTCTCACTGAACTGCAGCTGGGAAAACAATACTGTTTGGAATGTGAGGTCTCATTGTCTGGCACTTTTGGAGACTTTGGGATTTTGAAGATCAATCTCCAATTGAATAGAGACTTTTGCTGCACCTCTTTAGAGTTTTTTAGCATGCTTTTACAAGACTGAGATTTTCTCCCTCTTGCCTTTCTCAGTCTCAATTCTCTCAATTCATCTTTCTTACTGTGCATCTCTCCTAAACTTCTACCACAACCTTTTGTGTCTCTTTCTCCTTCTGCTTTGCTATCATGGCGAAGTTCTGCTCATTCTTTAACACATAACTTTCTTCTGAACTAAGAGTGTGTCTCCTACCATCCCATCCTTTCAGCTACTTGTTTCTGTGGCCGCATTCCATCTGTACTGTGTGCACACCTTGTACTGGCACAGGGGAACTCTAAGTGACACTGACTCATCTGTACATGGAGCTCTACAACTGCCTCCATGCCCTTGATGAGTATACACCATGTGGTGGTTTTCCCCATTGCTGATTCCTGGATTAGTACCTGTCTGTGTGTTCACTGGATGAGTGAAATTGAACTTAGCCCTGATTTTTTTTATAGGTATTTGTGAACTCGTCATTAGTTTCTGTGCCTTGCAAAGTCTACTTTAATCTATAATCATTTTGCATACTACTGATATTGAAGGGCTTGTTTAGAAATGACTTATTCCTTCTTGAGCTAAGATGGTTTTAGGGTTGACATGTTCTGTTTTGTGGTGCTGCACAAGAGTATCTGAGGCTGGGCAATTCCTAAATTGTTTCTCACAATTCTTTAGGCTGGGAAGTCCAGGATCACAAGACTGGTATCCAGTAAGGAACTCCTTGGTTGTTGTCTGTTGGTTGAAGGACAGAAGAACATGCAGAAAAGGCGACCAGAAATGGGTCTTACAGCCTCATGCCTTGTAGTAATCCACATTAATGCTTTCATGAAAGTTAGGTCCTAGCAACCTAAACATTCTCCACTGTTTTCCTTCCAACACTGTTGCATGGGGTTGGATCTCTAACACATCTCTTTTGGACATGCATTCAAATTACAGCACCATGTGACATTTGGATACTACTGTACATCTCAGTGCTCAGATAGCACATTGTCTTCACCAGTAATGTCCCTGCATCTCACCCTCTGTCATCTTTGGTATGGGTAGTAAGAAGTATCTGAATATAACTGTTTCTAAATTTTCCTGTTAGCTATGTAGGAATAATGCAAGGAGTTTTGATTCATCGAGAAAGAAAGGAAGTCTGTTAGCTTGAAGTTTCTTCACTTAGAATGAGTATTATAAGCATATATCATAATTAATAGGAAATAAAGTAATTTGAACCTGATTGGCTAACTGAGTCATTTTGAGTTTGATATTTATAAATTGTTTTATGGAATGGTTTGAGTAATATTCTTACTGAAACACTGTGGAAGCCATAATGTTCATTACTTGGAATGTATTATATACAGAGAGTTTATGGAGGGCTGAATGTAACAAAGCAACAAGAGATGACCACAGCACTTTCTGTCCCTTGTATTTTATCCAGGCTCCTTAGGGCAGGTAGCACTTGCACCCTTAATCCTGGTGTTATGCTGTGAATCAGTTTGAGCATATATACCCTAGATCCAGTACCTCTGAAAAAAGCCCCATCTATGACTGCTTGAGGCTTCAGAAGCCATTTAGACACAAGCCATAACACTGCATGTTAGTTGTCAAATAAAGTTCTAGTGAAAGTGCTTTGACAGTTGATAGAGTGCTATTTTCTCATTACTGCGTTGTTGGGATATATGATTGTAATTCTTTACCATGACGGTTTATATAGTCTTTATGTCATAGGCCAATAAGAATTCAACCTCAGATTTTATAGGTTCTAGAGGGAGGGAAGGAGGGAGAGAGAGAGATTATTATTATAATGTAGTACAGACAATGTATCTAAAAGTGTGCCTTGACTTAGTACAATTGTCTTACATGTTTTGTGTGTTCTTTGATCTATTAGTTTGGTTTTCCATTTGTATATGCAATAATTAACTTTATAAAATTTTATAAATGAGTCTGGTGCTGGAAAAATAAAAGGAGGATGGAGGGAAGGGAAAATGTATATGTACCAATTCCCTACAGTGAACATAATTGTACATATTATAGACATACTAGTAAAAGTCAAAAAAAGCAAAACTAAAGAAACAATCATAATGTTTATACGTTATATGCCTTAATAATTTAAAAAAATTTATACTTTTAAAATTGTAAGGTCACTTATGCTTTTTCTGTCTCTTTCATTCAGGTACCAAGTACTTGTTTTTGCAACAGATGCAGATAAAAGGGAGGAAACTGAGCAGCAGAAACTTGGTTCTGGAAAAAGACTGGTTGTAAGACCATTTTTAATATATAAAAAATTCAGTAATGCTATATCTAATCATAAATGTTTATAAGAGTAAGAATTCCTGGGGAGAAAATTAAAAACAAAATGTTTATGCCATATCTCATTTCCATGTATAATTGTTTGTAGCGGTGACCTAAGAATTTAATTGGCTATTGCTGAGCAGTGCAGCTGGGTTATACCTGTATTATATCATATTATGGATAGAGTGGTAGCACTGAAACTCTAAAGACTAAATGAGATCACTTTTAACTGAAGTGATTATAAACAAAATAAAAAGAAAAAATAAAAATATCTCTTTGATAGGCAAATTTATATACACTGTGCTTCTCTGTTCCTAATGTCTTTCTGAGGCTAATTTTTGGATTTTTTATATGCATTTTGAGCAATTAGATTATGATTCCTTCCATACCTTCCTTCTCTCTGCTCTTCCTCTCTCTCCCTCTCTTCCTTTTTTCTCTTTCTTTTTCCTTCCCTCTCTCCATTTTTCCTTCTTTCTTTTTTTCCTCTTTCCCTCCTTCCTGCCCTCTGTTCCTTTTGAATTTAGGACTTACTAAGGTTCTTGCATCTGTGGTTTTAAAGTTTTCTTTAGTTTAGAAAAAATGTGGCCATTACTTATGCAAATATTTTTTCTGTGTTCTTCTTCCTTTGCCTTGGGAATTTGAGTTATATATATATATTTAAGCTATTTGAAATTGTTTTACAGCTCACAGATTTTCTGTGCATTATATTTTTTTTAGCAGTTTTGGACATTGTACCCAGGGCTTATGTACATGCTAGGCAAATGCTGAATGACTGAGCTATATCCCATTTTAAAACTTTCTTTATTCTTGCAATTTCATTTGGGATAGTTTCTATTGCTGTTTTTGTTGGGGGCAAGGTACTTGGGTTTGAACTCAGGACTTTGCGCTTGCCAGGTAGGCACTTTACCACTGAGCTAAATCCCAAGCCCTTATTGCTCTTTTTTAAGACCACTAATTATTTTTCCTATAATATCTGATTTAGTATCAAATTCCTACTCGGCATAGGTATCATTTCTACTAATTTATTTTAAGTGTTTTTTATACTTTCTGTTTTTCTTCATAATCTGGAAGTGGAAGAAATTTTCTTATCATATCTATCAAACTCTTGTATGAGACTCATTCAGCATGTGGTCAGTTTTACTAAAAGAAATCAGAGAGTAATAGCACCCAATGAACTCAAAGTGTTTACTGGCTGAATCTGGCCGGTACACACGGGAACATGATTTGGTTGTCTACTCTGAGTCTTCCTCTCTCAGAGTCAGGCACACATGAGCACGGGTTATAGCTACTGATAAAAAATGCAGGACTTATAACTTGCTACAGTGCCATGAGAAATAGAACTGCCATGGAACACGCATTTGTCTTTGTCTAGTGGGGTTTTCATATAGGGAAGTTATACTTGAACTCAGTAGATTGCTCGGTGTCTAATTCTGTTTCAGCTTCTGAGTATCTAACTATGTTCACTCTGCTGTCTGCCTCCTGTGGGCTGTTTTAATATACATACTGGTAGTATCTGTCTTACAGATCAGCTCTATTTGGATTTCATATCTTCTTTAGATAGTTTAATACCTACAGTAGGTAGATTAAGGTCTAAAATCATGTCTTGATGACTAAAAAAGCGATCTTTTTAAAACATGATTTTTCATTTCTTTACATTTAACTATTATTTTTTCATGTTTCCTTTTGTTTTAATTTTAATTTTTTGTTAGTATGTGTTTATAGTACATAAGGATTATATCTGTCATGATCAGTGGGTACTTGTATGTAACGCATTCTTTTTTTGTCTCCTCCTCCTCCTATCCATCTTGCTTCTTTCATGTGTTGGTCTCCTTCCCATTTTCTGAAGTTCTATTTCCCGTTTTTTTTCTTCAAGTATTTTTTATGCCTTTTCTCTTCCCTCCCTACTCCCTTCCTCCATCTTTTTTTCCCTTTCCATTTGAAGGAGATCTTCCTACTTCCTATTAACTATCTTTTATTTTGCTCTTTGTTTTTAGTTTAGATTTCTAGGAAGGGAAACCATGTTATTTAAGGTGGTGTGTCTGATTTATTTCACATAATATGGTCTCAAGATGCATCCATTTATCAGTGCTTCATGATTATCCTTTTTTATGGCAGAATAGTGCTCTACCATGTATAAATATCACATTTCTTTATCCATTCATCTGTTAGTGGGTAGGTAGGCCATTTCCAAGATTTAGCTATTATAAATTATGCTACTATAAACATTGATATGCATGTATCACTATAATACAAAGACTTTAACTCTTTTGGGAAGAAACCTCGAAGTGAAATAGCTAGATCAAATGGAATTTCTAGTTTTAGTTTTTTGAAAAATCTCCATACTGATTTCTATATTGTACTAGTTTACTTTCCCACCAAGAATGTAGAAGGGTTTCTTTTTCCTTGAGATTTTGCTACCATTTGTTATTTTTGATTGCCATTCTTTCTGGAATAAGATGGAATTTCAGTGTGCTTTAGTTTGCATTTCTCTAAAGGTTGTTGAACATTTCTGCATGTACTTTTTTGTATTTCTTATACCCAGAAGTGTCTATTCTTGGGACAGTGTCTAATTACTTTGAGTTTTTTTATGTAGCATATTCTAGATGTTAGCCTTGTGTCTGAGAAGTAGCTGCCAAAATTTTTTTCCCCATTCTGTAAATTTTCATTTACTATGTTGGTTCCTCTGCTGTGCAAAAGCTTTTAAATTTGATACTATCTCATTTGTTGACTCTCAATACTATTTCTTGTGCCATTGGTGTTCTGTTCAGAAAGTCCTTGCCTATGCCTGTGTCTTCAAGAATTTTACCTAGTTTATCTTCCAGCAGATTTTTTCTGCTTTAAAATTCATTCATTCATTCATTCATTCATTCTTTCATTCAGATGGGAGCTTGCTTTGTAGTTCAGGCTGGCCTTGAACTCACAACAGTCCTACTGCTTCAGCCTCTGGAGTGCTGGGATTACACGCATGCATCATCACAGCCAACTCTGTTTTAACATTTAGAACTTTGATCCAGTTTCATTTTAGTTTGGTACACAGACTCAGTCTTCTGCATGTGGATATCCAGTTTTTCAAGCACTACTTATTCAAGAGGTTATCTTTCCTTCTGTATTTATTTTTGGCCCCCTTTTCAATGATTAAATAGCTGAATGTTCCTGGGGTGGTTGCTACTTTCTCTATTCTGTTCCACTGATCCACATGTCTGTTTCTGTGCCAGAACCATGCTGTTTTTATTAAAGTGGCTTTGTAATATAACTTCAAATTGAGGATTGTGACTCCTCCATTTTGCTTTTGTTATCCAAGACTGCTTTTGCTGTTTTGAATTTTAGGATTTTCTATGGTTGTGAAGAACACTGTTGGTATTTTGGTTGGGATAGCAGATAGCATTACATCTGTATATCAATTTTGGAAGTATAGCTCATTTCAACTATATTAGTTCTGCCTTTTCTTTTTTTTGGTACTGGGGGTCATACTCACAACCTCATGCTTTTCAGGCAGGTTCTTATATCACTGAGCTAAATACCTGGCTAGTTCTGTCTTTTTAGGAACGTGGGGTATCTTTTTCCATTTTCTGATGTCATCTTTGATTTCCTTTTTCAGAGTGATGTAATTTTCATTGTAGAGGTCTTTTTATCCTTGGTTAGGTTAATTCCTAAGAATTTAATTAGTATTTAATTTGTAATTAGTATTTAGTAATTAGTATTTAATTTGTCTGGATGCTACTGTGAATGGTACTGCTTTCCTAATTTCCCATTTTTTTAGTGAGTTCATAATTGCTATATAGGAATGCTATTGTTTTTTGTCTGTTGATTTTATATTTTGCTACATTGCTGAATTTGGTTATTCTAGGAGTCTTTTGGTAGAACTTTTGAGGTCTTGTAAGTAAAGGATCATGTCATCGGCAAATATTAATAATGTAACTTCTTTTCCTGTACGTACCCATTTTATTTTTTTCTCTTGCCTGATTGCTAATGTTTCAGGAAGTATGTTGAACAGGAGTGGTGATGGTGAAAATTCTTGTCTTATTCTTGATTTTAGAGGGAAAGCTTACAGTTTTTCCAGATTTAATAAAATATTGGCAGTGGGTGTGTCTTGAAGGGCCTTTATCAGATTGAGATAAATTCCTTCTATGCTTATTATTATGGATTAAGAACTGGTGGTCAATTTAATACCAGCTGGATTACATCAGCGTGGCATTGAGTGAAGATGCTCCACCTGAGGAAAGTTGCCAGGATAAATAGGTGGAGAAGAAGGGAGGTGTTGAGGGCTGAGATGTTAAGGCATTATTGCATTGTTGTGTTGAGGCATTGTGGATTTTCCTATGAGTTGCTGTTTGAGCTCTGGGTTCTCCTGAAGAAGCTTTGTCCTCACATCAAGCATTGCTTCCTGGCTCTGGAGGGGAAGACATGTGCGGCTTGGTCTCCAGGATGAACTCATCACACTGGCTTCCTGGCACGTACCCGACTGTGCTTGTCGTCGGAGAAGCTTGGGGCCTCCATGTCACTGAGGATGGCGATGGTGCCTTTCAGGACAGCCCTGGTCTTTATTTTGAGTGTGACTTCTCAGCTCCAGCGTAAAACCCTCATCCCACCAGCACAGCTCCTTCACCCTGCTTGCGTGGACTTTCTGGTTTCCACCACTGATCTTTGGGTCTTCCCAGCGCGGATCTGTAAAAGAGACTAGTGTGAGTTCTTCTTTAGGCTCTGAAACTCCAGCTGAACTAGTGGGAGGCGTGGTCAGGAGCTCTGGGTTTTTACCTGGACTCATGTAGGACATTGCTGTGGGATTTAGGCTCTTGACTAAATAATCTGTATCTTTGGTGTTGCGGATAGATTTCCTGCATTTTCTTGTGTTAACTCCCAATGACCATTATAAAAATATTATAAACTTCATATCCTGATTCTAATTGTAATCTGCACAACCACTAACTATAACACTTATTCAGAGTTTTTTTGAACGGATATCTGA